TTTTTTAAAATCCGATGTGTGGATCACATAATATTTCAAAAATTTTAACTTTTGAGTATAGATGATCCGCACTGTAGTCTAGAAATTGCATCAGCGCTATACGTAATATGTTTGATTTTATCTATCCCTATCCCTTTAAATAATGTATAAATGTTTTTAGCTTTTTGGGTCATCTTACGCAAATATTCTCTCTTAACACCAGGAAGATATGGTCCCATTTCATCATAAATCTGTGTTTTTGCCATTTGATCATTAATATTGTTTTTTGAACTAATATCTATAACCTTTTTTTCGAATTCCTCACTGTAATAATACCAACGTAAAATTTCTTTCTGACCGGTTTGTTTAGCCTTATCAAATAAGTGAGCTAAATATGGTGCAGAAGAAGCAAAGCTTCGAATCTCTGATTCACCCGGAGACAGATCATCCCTGTCTGGCATATTTACAGTAATTCGTTTGTCAGATATAGAATTCGAAAGACTTTTCTCGCCAATAAATGCAGATAATTCACGTATTAAACCTTGTTCTACTCTTTGATTATAGGAAAATTTTAGCACTGTTGCACTAGCTTCTGCTATTTCGGAAGAGAACGTAGGTTCATTGCCCGCAATAATGGTACTTTGAGTCTCAGCTGTAATATCCTCAGAAGTGGGATCCTCATTACTCTGTAATATTTTCTTTTCCAGATTTCGATCTCTGATCAAATTACTAACCTTTTCTTTTGTCACTCGATTCAGAAAATCATCTAATTTCTTTTCTTCTGTCGATTTATGATTCAAAATATTATTAGGATTACCTTCGAGAGAGATAGAATTTTGTTCCTGTTCTAAATTTATAGAATCAGTGCTATCATCCTCATCATTAATTGGTGACGGAATAGGCGATTGTGTAGATGCTGAAGACTGCAAAGGGTCATTAGTAGTTCGATTTTGCTTTATGATTTGTTTTAATTTTGTATTTTCGATCCTAAGATTAGCAATTTCTTCTATAATTCGTTTTAATCTAGTATTGTCAGCCTCGAGACTGGTAATTCTCTGTCTCAACAAATCTAATTCAGATTCCATGTTCGATAATATTTTTTTATATATGAAATAGATTTATTCAAAATATCGTAAAAAAATCACGTGCACACGAACAATTGTTCACGCCGATCACTTTGACAAGAAAAAATATCTAATGTCGTGTAATATTATGCAATCACCAAATCTTCTCTTGTTTTTACGAATGGGCAAAGCACAGAGTCTAAAGACTCATAAATAAGAGGTATGTATTGTTGTTGTATAAAAACGATTAAGCTTATTTTTTGACATCGAATGAGGGCCTGTGCGTCGTATGAGATGTAGCAAAGTTTTCGATTCTACCTATCAGCATGAATCCACAAATAATTATGATCGGCGCAGGTAACGGATCGCCCATAGTAGATAAATTTTTAATGAACTTACCGTGCAATTCGAAAAAACCAATGATTATTGATAACTTTAATAATGTGTACTCACAGCAGATTGATCATCCGCGCTGGAGAAACTCTGAAATGCATATAAAAACAGCTCAAATTCGAATTCGTATAATTTTTCTACTTTATAACTATAACATTCGAATAAATACAATAAAAATTTGTTAAATCAATCAAACCCACGTTAATAAATAAATCAATAAAACGTAGTAAATCGATTAAAAACCACGTTAAAAAATTAAATCATATTAAACATCATTCTTACATTTATCGAATCAAAGGTTTGTTAAGACTCTTGTATCAGATTAGAGATGTAGTATTCTTGTAACGTCATTGAATTAACTGATTTTTCCGTAGATGACACCAATCGAATTTTTCGAAGCTCTCTCAAAAATGCCATTAGAGAGTTATTTTATTTTAATCCCTATATTTATCCTCATCGTAACATTGATATTTGGAGAAAAGCTATTTATATACCTATTCATTGTCATCATATGCTTCGTTTTCTATATATTCAAACAACAAATCGATATGGAATTCAAATTATTAAAAGAGAAACGAAAAATTGAATCTAATGAAATCTATAATAAAATAGATGATCTTACCGAAAGAATTTCTTTGTTTTATGAAGAGTTCCAACAAAGATTCCAGGAAGAAGATACTTTAACTAATAATAATTCAAGTAATCTTTCAAATAATAATTCAAGCAATTTTTCAAGTACTTCTCGAGGTAAGATCTTTAGTTATACTAAAGGCTTCGCTATTTCAATGTATAAATAAATATCTATTACTTTGAGAGACTTATAGTGAATTAATATTTTTGTATCGTATTAGGCTCAAGACGTACTTCGTTTTCAGATCCACTCTTTCAGGAATTTAAAACCCTTTTCGACGAGACCATGCGAGAAAAGGATTATTCTAAAGCCGATATGATTGCCGAAGTTGTAAGTGATCTTAGAAAGGAGAAGAAAATAAAGGTTATATCGAACAAAGCGGTGGAAAATTATTATAATCAAACAACGAAACCCGACGCCAGGACCATAGGAGCAATCAAAGCTTGGATCGAGCTCAAGACTAAAGGAAAGAATAAATCCAAAAATAAATCAGCATCTAGCAATAATAATAATATCGATGAAGTTAGTGATGAGGAAGAAATAGATTATAATAATAGTAATAATAAATAGTTTTTTCACCTGGTAGAGCCAAAGTATAGGGACGTATATTCAAAAGAGAAGTGAAAAAACGAATCTAATGAAATATATAATAAAATAGACGATCTTACCGAAAAAATTTCTTTGTTTTATGAAGAGTTCCAACAACAAAGATTTCAGGAAGATGATACGTTAAATAGTAATAATTCAAGAAACTTTTCAAGTACTTCTCGAGGTAAGATCTTTAGTTATACTAAAGGCTTCGCTATTTCAATGTATAAATAAATATCTATTACTTTGAGAGACTTATAGTGAATTAATATTTTTGTATCGTATTAGGCTCAAGACGTACTTCGTTTTCAGATCCACTCTTTCAGGAATTTAAAACCCTTTTCGACGAGACCATGCGAGAAAAGGATTATTCTAAAGCCGATATGATTGCCGAAGTTGTAAGTGATCTTAGAAAGGAGAAGAAAATAAAGGTTATATCGAACAAAGCGGTGGAAAATTATTATAATCAAACAACGAAACCCGACGCCAGGACCATAGGAGCAATCAAAGCTTGGATCGAGCTCAAGACTAAAGGAAAGAATAAATCCAAAAATAAATCAGCATCTAGCAATAATAATAATATCGATGAAGTTAGTGATGAGGAAGAAATAGATTATAATAATAGTAATAATAAATAGTTTTTTCACCTGGTAGAGCCAAAGTATAGGGACGTATATTCATGGTCTAGGGGCTGTACGTTTCCTCCCTTGCAACTCTACCGTAGGAAATCAATATTATTTATTATTATTGCAAAGCAGGCCATAGGCGATTCTCCGAATCATGGGCTCAGCCCTTATCCATGTATCTTTATTTTATTTCGCTTGATTAAATCATTAAATAAAATGAATCATTCGAATTCTTATTTTTTAAACATAATATTTGTTTGTGTACGACCCATAAATTTTGGAATACTTGCATATGTAGTGCGACTATATAAATTATGCATGTTTATTTGTGCGATTAACCAAATTCGATTAATTAGCATTCATGTACATTAATTTTCTTTGTGAGAAAAATTTTTGGCGTAAAGATTGCATTCTTCCGCTTTATTTTATCTTTTTTTTAGATCCGAAAGAAGACATATAAAGAGATAGGCGAATACATTTAAAAAGGGCGGTATTTTGAATCTATTTATGTTAATTGCTTTTTATTCGAGATTTATCTTTTGCGCATTAACATTTTCAAACCCATATATTTTTATAAAACATTTTTATAATGTCGAACATAGTATCCCAAATCGAAAATCTTTTTTTAACTGGACATTTAGATGCAGTTTGTGGTGCGAACGTAGTTTATCTGGCAATGAATGGCAACAATTTGGGTAGATATGAAGACATCAGAACTTTAGCAGATCGTGCAGTAAATTCGGCCTTAATGAAAATAACCGATACGGAGCGAAGAACAAGAGTCTTGGAAGTTCTACCAGAGGTTAGTCTCATATTAATTAGAAACATTTTGTAAATATTATGATGGATACTACTACAGATGAGCTTCGTTCACATTGCTGGTCACTGCTGAAAGTTGGGGAGATACCGACCCGGAAGAGCGACATCTTTAGGGGGGCCTCGAGATGTCGAGGGTAATATTTTCCCTGGCTGTGCGTGGCTTTTTTGTCAAATGCTTGTAGCCTATGTAGTGTTGCGGGAGAAACTAGTTTCGCCCAATTTGATATACAAAAAATTAGGGTTTCGGACTCCTAGGAAGTTCACTGGGGCGAAACATTTCGGATTTTGAAAAATGGTTTCGCCCGCAACACTAAGCCTATGTAATTTCTGAAAAATGGTACCATATTATGTGCACATAATATATATTTCGCGCGAATCTAACAAATTTCGTCTGTTGCAGATGATGGTTGCTTACAAAAGCATTGTAGGTTTGAGAGTATTAAAAGCATTAAATACGGTAATATATTATATAATCGGTAAAAGTTCTTAAAAAAGTCAAAGCTCGATGTATTAATATTTTCTGATATAAATTAACAAATAGGATAGAGAAGACACTCCGGATAAAACGAGAGAAGAAATAGAAAAAAATTATAATGCATTAAAGTCAAGCCTTAGTGTAGGTATCCATAATTTATATTTTTGTTCTTGCTCAATTTGAAACTTTTAGATACTCACTTTTTCACCTTCCATATAGAGTCCCAAGACTGATTCTGATGTATCTCTTTATGACGCCCTCAAAAAAAATTTGGTGAAATACATTAATCCTTTTGATCTTTCATGGCAAGATCCAGAAGCTAATATGGTTTTAAGTGATGATTCGGTTTTAGTGGAAAAATTAGGAAAGAGACAAAAACGTGCTTTCATGGTAAATTTATCTGATTCACAAATATATCCGTGAAATGATACCTAGTATTCTTACTTTCTTATTTATTATTAGGAACCGTGTGAAAACATGAAATGTACATTACCCGAGTCGGTTGTTTCTAAGTGTGAGCAGTTTGTATGTGATTTTAATGAGGCGATTAATACAGATATACCTAGAAACATTGTACATGATAAGACTTGGAAAGAAAACGTATCTAAATTAGAGAAAAGAGCTGAGCGTATACTGAGTGTTCTGTAAGTAATTTTGTTTTCTTGGATGATTAACTAATGATTGGTTTCTTATTCTTCTTTTACTCATTTAGCGGGGAGGACTGGAATAATCCTGCATTCGAAGACAGTACAGCTCGTAAAGAGCAAAGTGAAGGGACCTATATTGTGGATGTGATAATGCCTTTACTTCGAGCTAGTTTAGAGGATATGCCAAACGGAAGAATTTGTTTGAGCACGTAAGCAAAATTTATATTTAGCTAAGAAATGACCTTATTATGAAGATCTTTAAAGTTGATGTTTATTACAGGGCAGAACGGCAGAGCTTGGCAAGCAAATTTCGAAGGAATCTTGGTGAGGTAAGTGGAAAACGGATTGGGAAAAAACCTGATGTCATGGTACTGATGAAGTATGGAGGAAAAATCAACGAACTTACATATGCAGAGTGCTCTCGAATCGTTTGTAATGATACAAAAAAAGCTAATGATGAAGTAAAGTTGTGGCGAGAAACATTGGATGGCATGAGTTTTGTTAATTTAGGATGCAGACCTTGCAATCAATTTGGTATAGTGGGGATTCAGGTTGCTGAAGCAGATGTGTATTTGAATGTTCTAGTAAACGATGCGGGTGGTCTATCTCGCTATTTTCATGTCGATCATGCAGAAATTCCCCTAACACCAAGATCACCACGACAATTAAAACCGCTTATACGATTGTTGTTAACCTTAAGGAATATTTTGATCGTGAATAAGAATTTATTAATGCAAGCATTAAATCATGCTAACTCGAATCCTCCCCGAAATGTCAAACTAAGCTCCACAATTTCTTCGCCATTGCACAATTAATTCTTTTAAAATTAGAAAATTTGTATTTTTGTATGTATTTTTTTATATCTATTTTCTTATATAAAGCAGTTGAAAAAAGGACAGAAAGAGATTCTATGCTGATATTACTATTTACTTGAATTCGAAAATACAAATAATAAAAATCACATCACTATTACATGTTGCTAATAAGAAATAATTATTTTTTTGGTTTTACGATAACATGAACTTGTTTTGTTGCATTGAAATATTCAGAAACTTCGGCTGTCGATTCCATAGGAATAATTGCGTAGAGATTGAAATGAATAGAAAGTTCTTGGTGACCTTGATTTACCAACAGACCTTCAATCGCTTTTTTAAGTGTGGTAACCTTATCTTCCTTACATATTTCAATATTAAAATATTTACCATCTGGAAAACAACACTTGAGACTAATAGGATTGGTCATTTTGCGTTTCCTAATATAAAGTTCTATAATAAGTAAAAATTCATTTACAATGGATAGAGCTCTTATTGCAAATAACACATAATGGACACCAGCAAACCAAACACGTTACCTTATAAAAATTGCGAAAAGATAAGAAATGATGCCTCACAAATCCAGTTTATTTATATTGTTCCATTCGCTAAATCTGAGAACCTGCTAGAAGAAAAAATAGATGATTAGTAATTACGTTATCCTGACATTTCTCGGATCTTTTCTTCGTAAGGCAGGTCTATTAGAATCACAAGAGCCAAGAACTGAATATATTTCGCCTTTTATGGGGAAATTAAACCTTCCAGTCTGGCGATCTCTCATTCAAAGTGTAAAATAAGAAATTTTGGCGATCTCGGATCTCAAGTTCCGTAACATATGAATTTTGATATTATTACTGATAAAGAACAATAAACTCTCCTCATTCATAACCTTTTTGGGTCCCATTTGTATTTTTTTCTTGTCGGAAAAGCTATCTACAGTAAGGAAAAGGCTTTATTAATTAATTCATATATATATAGAGAAAATAATTTAGCGGTGTCACAGAAATAATCTCGTGGAACAAAGACCCAAATAATTATATGAATCGTTATTTTTTTCTTCACGAAAAATAAACCTGGTTCTATCATTATATCGAACAAAAATGAATTGTGATATGTTTATCCCTCAAATTACGAACAATGATACAAACTATATTTATACCTATATATCTCACTCATTCTCATCACAAATACCCCCACAAAATATGGCGAATATAACACTCTTGAAGAGATGGTTCGAGGATCCAGGCCCTATGGGGCGCTCTTCGAGCATCTGGACTAAAATTGAATCCAGTTATTCTAGAGTATAAAATTATTAAATCTAATAGGTCTAATCCTTAAATTCGATATAAATCACATATACTTCCATAAACACTACAAATAGGTTATATAAAATGGCTAGCTTAAGTGAAAGACGTGGAACTAATTGTACTGATGCTGAATGGGATGAAATTCTGGAGATGGGTATTGTTTCATCAAATGAGACTCCTACAGAATGGATGAATCGAATTTGGCCTCACTTACAATATTTCAGAGAAAATAATCTTATACCTTAGAAAATACTTTGAAGCCAGAAAATTAATAACATATTGGTCTGCAGTTAATGAATGTTATAAAAGCTATGCACCTGAGATTGGACTTGCTATCTGTTTCTCTTGTAATCAACTTATATATATTGGAGAACAAATTAAAAATATAGGTAATTATAATCACATAGGAATGGAAAAACATTGGGCTTCTCATTGTACAGGAAATGCATATTGTGGAGTAAATTATGATGAGTACTTACTGAAAATCGAACAAAAATCTATTTCAGAATATATTTATGATAATGAGTATGCAATACACCATTATGAATTGTGGATGCAGAATGCTATTAGAAGAGTTAATCATGCAAGAGAAATTGGTAGAAAAATCAGAGCTGTAAATATTATAGCAATGAAATGGCTTGAATTTATATATCGCCCGATGGACTCTGTGCTTCAGAACTTACTCAGCATTATCAATTATTATGGGCGGTTAGAGAAGAAATGCGTCAAATTAACAATGTATAATTCACATATCTATTTATTAATTATATAACTTATTCATATATATCTATTTAAAATAAAACCACCTAAAGTATTCCTTGAGGGCTAGTACTTTAGACTTTATTTCGACACCCCTTGAGGGCTGGTATCTTTTTTTGTACCAGATTCCCATGTAAACCAAAAATAGTTACTTTATTAGATTTTGCAACATCTAGGTTTCATGTCATCAAACTAATTTGGCTAAATTCATAGAACATCTACATTGTGCAAATATGGTCAGTTGATGTCTTGTTGATGTGTTGTGTGACTATATGCAGGGAACCCTAAAATTGGATTAACCGCACATGGTTTAGATTCTTAAAATCATGCATATTAA